CGCTATCATCGTCACTAACTTCCTCGCAGTGACATTTCACACGCTTTTTCTTTTCCTTCTCACCTTTTCCTTCTTTCTTTGGCTTAAGCTCGTCGCTGCCCACCTTTTCTTTCTCCGAACTACTCGAGTCCTCGCCCTTTCCCAATTTTTGATAGCTCGATTTTTTTATATTTGTATCATGTTGACTGCCTTTATCTTTTTTTATTACTTCAATGGGTGATGGCTTCCTATCTATTTTTGAACTCTTTTCTTTCGATTTGCTCTTCGAAATGCTCCTTTCCTTTGACAAAGTCTTCATTTTGTTTGTCTCTCGTACTTTAGTTTTTTCAGGAATCGTTATCTCTTCGCTATCTTCTTCAGAAGTTGATTCACGTATTGTGGCTACACTTTTATCTACATTTTTAGTCTTCGGCGGGCATTCACAGCAATCTTTGCGGTCCATTTCCTCGATAGACATGGCACTGGCCACGCGCTCTGGCTCCTTCTGGGAATCATCTTGGCAGTATTTAGTAGTTCCGCTGGTGACGCCGCAAGGGCACGGCTTGCCGCACACCACCTCATAGAGACAGGTCGGGTCATGGGGCGGGGCGGGGGCGGACACGATTTGCACAGCGGACGTCTGTTGATGGCACGAACTTACTCTTGGACTAAAATGTCGAAGGTCTGAGGTCGATGTGCATCTATCGTAGTGGAACTGAAAAATAATGTTGATCTATTCAGAAACTTAAAGAAAAAATATTATAATATTTTTCCCGATTATAAGGCAGTTTAATTGAGAATTTGTGGGATTATTAACAAATATGTAATAATGGCAACATTGCCTAGTGGTTCAAAGTATTTATATACATTTAAATACATTTGTCTTTTGCAACAATTGTACAACGTCTCCCGTAAGATTATTGATCCGATCGAGACGCGCAACCAAAGCGGTTGTTTAAAACGGTGCATGTATTAGAGTATCTTAATTTATGATCGTAAAATTATAAATATTTAGCTAAAATACAGTCCCTTGACGTATTTTACCAAAAGTAGGAATGCCCTATACCGGAATCTGTACATAAGTGAAGGGATAACGCAATTTTTAGTACAATCGATTCTTAACTGCATAACCGATACCTTAATTTATTAGAAATTATATACTCTATACGTAGACAATTAAAAATAAGATGTTCTTACCTAAAACCCTAACTTTTATGTAGTTATCTAAGTAAATTTGATTTCATCCATCATCGTCATTGTTTTTGAGGAGATCATTTTAAAAACTCTGGTACACGCCTTTGCACTCAGGGTCTAATGATTTAAAAATTGAGCGCCCTAACGGAGGGCAATAATTTTCAGAGCAATCTTACTAATTGAAAATAAGACTACAAAATATAAAATAAGAATGTATTAAAATGTTTGACGAACCATATTGCTGTAGCCTAAGGCAGGCGTGTTTGTATTACAATCTGAAGGCATTATGTTTGGATTAAAGGGATCCCCATACGGTCTCAAATATTGCTGACCGAAACAGAAAGATGGCGCTATCCTGTAATTGAAACGACTAGTTATTTCTTAATAGAGTTTCGACTATCTTCGTATTTATTTTATTATTCGAATACTTTTTCGTATGTTACGGAATATTATAGTTATAAATGATGACTATTTAACAGTACTTGTAATAATTATCACTATTAAAAAGACGTACTTTACTTACGGATTCGAAATATTTCGTATAAACCAGGCTTGCGAAGCTAAGTTCCAGTTGACGTTCATCGTGGGGGGAGAAAACGCGCACGGTGCCCACACATCGCGTTTTATTGTTGGGATAAAGAAATATTGAACACTACCGTTGGGTAGGATGATCGATGTTAAATCTCCCTCCCCTATAATTTCTGGATTTTGAACGTTCTGCACAGCTAAAACATTATAAGTATTCCGGTATCTTTGCCTGAACAACTATAATGCGATATTTTCTACATTTATATTTGGACTCGACATTTTTCCTGCATTTAACCACCGCGACACGACCACAAGACTTCAGTTACGTCTCAAAATTTATACTATCAAAGGTGGTACTAGTTCTGATTTTAAACATATTTTTTTAGATTAGTACATTGAAATTAAACTTACGTGGCTGAAAGGGTATATATTGAACAGTATTTTGAGGTCCTGTGCCGTAGCAAAAATTCGGTTGCATGGTTGGTGAGAAATACATCTTTCTTAACTTAATCGAGGAAACATATTGCGAACGGAGTCATTGTTAATATATTATTTATTGTATAAATATTATTTTTGTATTGTAAAGATATCCATGGTTCTTACAAAAGTCATTGTGTGACAGATTTTTAATTGCCAAAAATGAAGTATTGTTTGTCTTCTCGATTATAGTTTCTATTTCAACTGCTTATAACCTATTTTGTTTTTATTTACGTCAAAAGAGTTTTATTTTGATATCATTTAAAAAGGCATTTTTCCTTGCTTGCTTTGTATCATGATGACCACAACCATTGTATTTTTAAAATTCGCTTTACCAGTTTATCGACTAATCATTTAAAAGCTATAAAGTTAAAAAAATAATTGCATTTTAATAATAAAAAAATCCTTATTCATATTACATACATAGTAAACAAAATTAACATATACACTATACATACTATACAGTAAAAAATAAACTTAAAATTATAGATATCATCAACTGAAGACAGCATTTCTAATATGGAAGTTGACAATGTAGTCTGAGTTAGTTCTTTGCACGCTGATGGCGAAGGGGTCTGTGGGGTGGAAGGTAAAGGCGACGAGGCGACGCGCGCTCGCCGGCACAGACTGGCCGATCACACCCGCATAGATCTTGAACTTCAGCAGACCGGAGTCACGAGCGTAAAATCTAATAAGAAACATTAAATTACATAAAAATTGTAAAATGTTAAAAAGAATCGAATACTGCGAAAAACTAAAATGCCTTCAATCCCAATAGACTCACTTATGTAACTCACTTATTAGTTTTGTCTTTGTGGTAAAAAAAAGTTTTTTTTATACTAGACCCCGGTTATTTAATTTTTGGTGACATGCATATTTGAAGGTCACAATATCTTGTAATATTTCTTTGAATAATTACCTAATGGGATATTCTCCATAAGCTTTAGGTCTTTCCATAACAGAAACCCATTTGTCATCATAACTAAACAATCCTAAATCTAAATAAGGTGATCCGCTGTATGACTGTGCACTTATAGGTAACTGAGCTAGTATTCGCTTCGTCGCCTCTGTCCGCCCGCCGTATATAGCTCTCACGATAGTTTGCTTAAATCTCTGTTGAGTCAACCTTGCATATAAATTGTTAGACGGCGAACAAGTGAACTGAGAATCGGCACACAGTCTTGCATTTCTAAAACAATCACAGTAATTCTCGAATAACTGTAATAGTGCTTCTGAAGTATTCTCATACACAGCCAATATTTTACTCCCACTTATGTTGTAGATAACAAAAAATGAGGATTGACTGTTAGGCTCCGCTACTCTCAAAGTCACAACTTCTTCACTTGCATACTTAATAAATAAATGATCTTCATCTAATAGCTGCATCTTCCACATCCTAAGACTTTTAAACATATCAAAGTATTTATAAAACTTTCTCAATTCGAAAGGATCATTTGTACTGTCACTTATACTTTTAGCTCTTTTAAAAAGGAACACAAGCAATCTGTGTTTTAAACTATTTATTGTCTCTTCATGAAATGGTCTTTCATTTGTCTGTGGTGTAAACACTGAGTTTACAATAAATGGATCGTCATCAAAACAAAATCTTCCTATTTTTCTTATTTCTATTAACATTCCATCAACAATTTGAAACAGATGTATTGTTTGATGTTGCACAGAGAGGACTGCTAACACTTCTTTGTATAAATAAATGCCTTGATTATGTGATAAATAGATTTTGTCAATTCTAAAATGCTTTGTGTCACACAGTTTGCCTTGGTGCAAGTCTACCAAGTGAAGTGAATAGTCCTCTAATGCAGATCTGAAAGTCAAATAAATTAATACATTATTTTAAAGTTATCACATAATAAATTCAAACAAAGTATTACATGTTAAATGTAGTTTAAACTTAGAATAAAAACATGTTGAAAGACTGTTAATTAAAGCATTTTAATTTAATTTATATAGTAACTAGTTTTTGCCCACGACTCCATCCATGTGGAATAAAAAAAAACAAAAACGAGTAGCCTATGTTCTTCCAGACTATCCAATACATGATAAAATTCAGTTCTTCTTCAAGACCAAATATAAAATAATTATGATTATATTATTAAAATGTTATTTACCGAATTGTTGGTGTAACAGCTTCATTATTACTGTGTATATGGTAAAAGTGTGGTCTGAGATCATCAGGTATGTGTGCTGCGGAACCCACTATCACATATCTACCATCCTCAGTGAATAAACTGCATTCACGGTTCAACTGTTGCTCTATAAGTGGAAGCTGACCTGGATTACGTTCAGACCTTGCCACCAGTCTTTGTTGACATACATTTACTGTAAATTTTGGCTGCAATTTTTTAATATCATTTAATGTTAATAAATCATAAAAATATGGTATTTAAGAAGTTAAGTGTCATTGCTATTTACATAATAAAGTCAGTAGTAAAATAACCTTAAAAAACCTGTAAAATATGTGTGTTCGTATTCTGTGATGAACATCTGCATCAGCATTTAATAAATCAGCGGGGTATCCTGCTACAAGGTCTCCTGCCGCTGAAGCCCCTCTGTATTCATATATCTGAAAATAATATGTTTACAACTCTAGCATAATATCAATAAGTAAAATACATCATACAGGGACATTGGCTCTTCTTTGGACTTTGGACATTATTAAATGTAGTAAACATTTTTACCCACCTCTAAAGAAGTTTGATCAGCTGAAAATGCTATAAAATGTTTCCCATCTGGACTAAACTTCCGTAAGAAACAAGGAGGTTTCTCTACATTCACTATTGTTAAGTTAGGAAATACGTTTTGATAGAACTCTCTGACGACATGGAAGTGTGATCCAGGTTTTCTGGAGCCATATATTTCTCTATCCATAAGTCTTATTACTATGTTTTGAGGTTTAATTTTTCGAGGTACAATCCTTTCGGTACAAAAGAACTCGTCCTCGTTAAGCGCTCCCGGAGGGGCATCTTCGTAGTATACGGATGCCATTTTACTATTAACTTTACAATAAAAGTGCTTGTTAAGTTGTGTAATTAGTTAATTGGAAATTTACAACCAAGTGTCCACTTGATTCATGTTCATGTACCTAAGTTGTCCCTTATTTATTTCTTGAGAGACTTAACTTGTTAATAACATGAAACCCTATAATTTTAAACTTAAAATTAAACCTACAAGAAAAATAAAATGTAAATAGTAAACACGTATGACATTTCATGTGATATATGTCAATGTCATCGTTTTTATTTATAGATTAGAGATAAGACACGCACAATATCTCTATGTTCTACAGATAATTTCAAAATTATTTTCATTATTTCGATTATTTTGTAAAGTGAAAATTTTCCTCATTATTAGCATTAATTGAAATATCACAAAAAACTCAATCAAAAACATGTTAATTAATTAGGAAGAAATAAAAACATGAAAGATTTATGGAAATAATTATTATGGCAACGATTTTTTACTCGATTTGGTACTTCCCCCGGCCACCAAGTAGTATGCACTCTTCAAAACATACTTACATATTTGAATCTAAAGTTATGAATTATGTGATTGTAACTAGCATCTTTTATTTTGTGTAGATTCCGAGATCAAGTGTTATGTTATAAAAGTCAAGAGAAGAACATAAATATGTTAATTTAAAATTTTATTAATCGCACACAAATATTTTAAAACAACTGAAGTTAGGGATTTACATTTTTTTACACCATGTTTTAATATCAAGAGGCCTCGAGAGTTGACAATAAAAAAGAAACACGATTGTTTGACGTTACAAAATTCTATTACTTGTTTATGGCAAAAGTCAAACAAAATCTAAACTGTAATCTATTTATTATAGCGTTCTACATGCAAATTCATTATTTTGGCGTTAAGTAATTTTTATATGTTTTTGGTTAAAGATTCTATAAGGTATTTTTAAATAAATTAAGTTTGTACGTAATGAATTCACTCACAATTTAATTTACACTAATTAGCAGTATACAACAAATGGAGGTCAGTGAATTTTTACGCTACATAATTTTAACGTTTTACTCATACTGAACCTATTTTATATTTTTCATTTGATAGTTGGGATACAATCAAACATATGGAGAAGATCAATGTGTAGTACTTAATCATAAACCGATACATTTCAATGCAAATAAACATAAAAATGAAGGTAAGTAAATTTTAAATTGTATAATTTAAACTTTGTGACGGTTGGGAATTTAGAAATGACCTTGTATTCATCTAATAAAGCCAAGCTAAAACTTGTTTGTTAAAAAGTAAAACTTTCTATTCATGTCACGTGTACAGAAAGTATATAAATAAAAACTTATCGACATAGAAAGCAAACTCGTAATGGAGCAACACGTCAAAGAAGATATGAATGAAATGGCAATGTTGATGCGAAACTATGACAGCAAACTGTACGGCGAAGATGACACATCTCAACCCACTTCCTGCACCGCACCAGTCATACCTCCAGAAACAACCAAGAAGAAAAAAAGAAGAAAAAGGTATGGCCGTAGTATGTCGATGCGGTACATAAGCCTATTTTCACTTAGTCACTACCAGCGCGACTCTAGCCGCGTTAGTGGTAATACGCGTAATGTTATGACTGTTTTGATTGGGTTACGCCTCCTTACGAAACGTCTCCGCCTCCTCCGCCTCTAAACGTAGAGGCAAAATTAAAATTAATCCAATATCCGAGTTAAAATATTTTACAGCAACACAAAAGAATTTGCAGTTTACAAGATGTTTTCTCGATAGATCTCAAATAACCGTTTGCCTTACGAACTGTCGTTACGAGTCGATTCGTAAAGTGGCGAGTGCGTTCGGCATGCGCGAGGTATCTGAGGACGAAACGTGGAACTTTTACTGGACAGACATGAGCGTGTCCGTGGAAAGAGCCAAGGAAATGAAGCGGTTTCAACGTATAAACCATTTCCCTGGAATGTTGGAGATTTGCAGGTAGATAGACGTAGTACTTTGTAATCTGCTATATTTATCCAAACATCTTCAAGACGTTGTGGAGAAGGTACTAATCACGTGTGATTTTAGGAAAGATTTGCTGGCGAGAAACTTGAATAGAATGCAAAAAATTTACCCAAAGGAATATAATTTCTTTCCTAAAACATGGTGTCTACCCGCAGAGTAAGATGCA